CCTCCCTTGGCTTTATTTATTGCCCCAGGAAGAAGAAAGCCACATTTCCACAGGAGGCAGTTTTGGTGGGGAGACAGGCAGAGAGGTCGGGGCAGAAGGAGGAAGACGGAGATCTAGAGAAAGGCTCTTCCAAGGGCAGTCGACCAAGGCAGGGGAAGCAGGGGAGTAGGAGGGTAGTGCTGGCTTCTCTTCAGGGCTCCACACGGGCCTGCGCTTTGGGCCCAGAATCTGGATATGACCTTTGCAGCGTCAGAATCGTGAGTTTCCATTCACTTTCCCAGAGCGGTGCCAGGGCCAGGGGCCTGACTCATGAATAGCAGAGAAGGCCTGAAGACAGGTTTATCCCTTGACTGTGGCTGGGAGGGGTCAGGGGTAACTTTCCAGGGCCGACACACTCCAGTCCGGCAGCTGCCCACAGCTTAGGGATCTGTACGGCCACCAGAGGACATCAGGGCAGACTGGGATGAGTCTGGGATGAGCCCTTCCTCCTCTAGACCCAGGCTGCCTCCTTCCCCCACAGGATGGAAAACCAGCCCCAAGCCTCTGCTCCCATCTCCCTGTCCCAGGCTCCCTCCAGACCACCTCCTCTGCTTTCATTTGCTGAGAACCATCTCCCCGATGCTTGGATGTGCCCTTGGCCACAGCTCTGAGCCCCAGACCCTCTCCAAGGGCCCTTCGAGGCAGGTCCAGCAGCACAACTCCCCAAACCACTCCTCCTCGGGTGCTCGCCTGCTGTGCCATTTACAGTGCTTCTTGATCCCCTAAATCCAGAGAGTGATGCTTCCAGGCCTGGCCTCCACTTTAAATGGGAAGGAGGGTTTTCTCTGCACACGTGAATATCTGATCTTTGGGAAAAGCTCCTTCTCCCGGAGGTCAGATCCTGGAGAACCCCAGCGAATCATGGCAGTTTTCAGATTTTGAGGCCCTCTTTTCAAACTTCCCAGATCCAGTGAGTTCAGATGGCGGAGTGGGGGTGGGAAGTTGGGTTTCTATTAGCATCAGAAAGAAACACATCAGGAAACTCTAAGATTATTAATAGAATGAAATTCTATAAACTGCAGTACCTCAATTCACCCACCATTCAGAATATACAATAGTTATTTTTATCTAAATTATTTCCTGAACAAGATTCAGATGTTAAATTAAACAACTGTTACTCTATTTAGTTTCATTTTATGATTAATAAAACTATGAGGCACAATAAGAACTTACAATAGATCCAGAAAATATTATTACTGAGCATTTAAAACGAATGTTCTATAAATTAATGAGTAAAACTTGAATAAGGAGTGTTTCTACTTTAACACGAAGAAAGGAAAATGTAAATATGAAATTGAGAAAATTACAAGGGCCAATGTGTTACCAAGGGTGTTGCATCGAAAAATATGAAGCTAAAATGAAGAAAGATACAGGAAAGGTGATTTAGCAAGTGATGAAATCACAATGTAAAAAAACCTAATTTTAGCAGGGGCTCTATTACACAGGAATAGGCTGGATGCACGTATGAAGAGGCCACCTCCTGCAGCTCTGTGGGGAGGGTCAGCTGAGGTAGCAGCAGTTATAACATGAAAACACAGCCCCTTCCCCCTCCCCCTCTCTTCTCTCCCTCCCTCTTTATCTTCCTTCTTTAATTTCTCACTTCCTTCATCCCATCAACACTAACACTGGGTGCTAGGTATACATCAGCTAACAAGACAGACAAGATTTCTGTCCTCACGGATTTACAGTCCAGCGGGATAGGCAGACATTAAACAAATAAACAAACAAATCACACTAATAAATATACATTTGCAAAAGGAGATTAAGTGTTGGGAAGACGTACAGGGTGCTATGCAACGGACTAACCGAGTGGATTTCATCTGGGTGCTCAGGGAAGGTTTCTTAGAGGGAGTGCAGAGAAAGCAGGAGTTATCCAGCTGGAGAGGGAGGGCTGGGGCTCCTGGCAGAGGGGACAGCAAGGGCAAAGGCCCCAAGGCAAGTCTGACGTGTTCAAAGAGCTGGAGGAATGCCAGTGTGGCTGGAGCACAGGGAGAGAGGGAAAGACTGACTCAGGAGGAGTCCCGGGTGCTGGGCAGGGCAGGTGATCATGCACGGATTTAAGTTAAGGGTGATAAGAGACCATTTAGAGATTTTTTTAAGGAGGAGAAGGACATGAGCATATTTGCACTAAAAAAAAAAAAATAATAATTGCAGAGGTGTGAGTGGACATGGAGTGACCAGGTAGGAGGCTGATCTGGTCAACAAGGTAGCCAGCGGACGGAGTCTTCTATAGGGCAGGGGCAGTGGGGCAGAGGGAGCGAACAGGTGGATTCAAAGTGCATTCAGGAGTTTGAATTTGAGACATATTAGAAATAAGGGGTGAGGAAGTGGAGGTGCCTGGGGTGGCCTCTCCACTTGGGGCAGAACAGCCAGGAGGTGGAGGCACCCTCTCCACTGTGTCTGAAACTCTCTTGTTTTACAATTAAGAGGCATTAAAGGCGGCCTTTGAGAGGGAACATGGAGGCCCCCAGGTCACCCAGCCAGTTGACAGAGCTGGGACTGGATCCCAGGGCAGCGGCTACCACTCAGTGGCGCTGGGAGCAGATCTCCACTGAGTTCCCTGCTCCAGGCTGGGGTGGGGATTCCACGGTCTCAGGAGACCCTGTGCAGCCCCGCCTCCCTCCCAGGCTGGGCATCCCCCCAGGTCCAGCAGCCTGCTGGGTGGCCTTCCTGCAGGCATGCCCTGCGGAGCCCCTCCACCCAGCCAGGCTGCAGGGACAGTGCCAGGGAGGCCTCCACACGCCAGCCCGGAGCACAGTGGCCACATCCATGTGCCCGCCTCCCTTCCTTCTGCTGTTTCTCCTCTCTGGGCAGCCTCCAGCTTCTATTTCTGCCTCCCTCTGTCCCTTCTGCCCTTCACATGTCATGGTCATCATCAAGTCCTACACCTTGATTGCTGAAAGTGGCCCTCTACACAGTGGGTCGTCAACTTCCGTTTATTAAATTGGACTGCAGGTCACTTTCCCCCTGAGTTTGCCCCTCTGTCCCCAGTGCTCTGACCCCTCTCCCCGCCTCCCAGAGGACCTGTACATCGTCCACTCCTGACTCTGACATCCTCATAAATTTGTTGCATCCACCCTGCCTGCCATCTTTCTGGGTCAGGTCCGCCCTGCTACCTCTCATCAGAATTGTTGCAAAGCGTCTAACTTCTCCCCCACCTGCAGCCTCTCCCTCCTCCAATCAATTTCTTTCCTCTCTTTTTTTTTTTTAATAGATCTTTATTGGAGTATCATTGCTTCACAATACTGTGTTAGTTTCTGTTGCACAACAAAGCAAATCAGCCATATGCGTACACATGTCCCCATACCCCCTCCCTCTTGAGCCTCCCTCCCACCCTCCCTACCCCACCCCTCTAGGTCATCGCAAAGCACTGAGCTGATCTCCCTGTGCTATGCGGCTGCTTCCCACCAGCCAACTATTTTACATTGGGTAGTGTGTATATGTCGATGCTACTCTCACTTCGCCCCAGCTTCGCCCTCCCACCCCATGTCATCAGGTCCATTCTCTATGTCTGCCTCTTTATTCCTGCCCTGCAACTAGGTTCACAGCTCTGGCCTTAGACACTGCCATTGCCCTCTCTGGGCCTCAGTTTCTCCATCTTTAAAGAGAAATGTTAGACTAAGGGCATTGATAACTCTAAGAATCTGTCTTTAAAGATTCACGTTAATTGGCTCTTATGATCTATTCAAAGATACACTAGGTCAGTGACTCTCAGTGGGGAGTAGGGGCTACATCCCCAAAGGTGAGGGTGTGTCAGAATCTGCCTCCTCCAATCAATTTCATACATGTTTCCTGCTCAAAAACCTCCAGAATTCTTTTCCCATTTAGGTTGTTACATAATATTGAGCAAAGTTCCCTGTGCTAGACAGTAGGTCCTTGTTGGTTATCCATTTTAAACATAGCATATATATAACTGAATCACTTTGCTGTACACCTGAAACTAACACAACATTGTTAATTAACTATGCTCCAATATAAAATTAAAAATTAAAAAAAAAAAAAAACCAACCTTTGGAAGCGGCCCCTGGCCAGCTGGAGGAAATGCCTGGCGCTGCGGCCCAGCTCAGCCATGGCCTTGCACCCTTTCTCACTTCTCCCCATCCCTCCCCAACACACCCCCACCCCCACCCCCAGCCTGTTTCCACCTAGAGCTTTTGCTTCAATCTCTCTCTCCACCCCCCAGTGCTAGAAGTTCAACACCCCCCACTCCTCCCAGCACAGCTCCCGCCAGGCTCCTTGGTGAAGCACCCCCCGTCTCCTCGTGCTGCCCCCACCCCTCCTGGAGGAGTCCCCCTTCCTCGGCACCCTCAGCTCTGCCGCCTCCTCAGGCACCCATCGCTGCCTACCTGGCCCGTCACTGTTTGTGCTGGTGCCTTGGCACAGGGGTCCTGAGGAAGATCGGCTCCTGGGGAGGCTGACGAACTCAGTGGGGGCTGAGTTTTGTCTGAGGGGCTCAAGGCATCCAGGGGGCCGTGTATACACTTTGCTTCTAAGCTGGGAGCTCCTGGCGGGCAGGGACAGTGGTGGGCTCATCTCTGGATCCCCAGCACCCCACACAGGTATGGCATCTGGCAGGCACGCAGCTGACCTCTGCCGGGTGAACAACCAGGGGGCTAATGGGTGGCCCTGAGGCAAGTGCGGCAGGAATTCAGGACAGGGATTAGGGAACCCAGGGAAGCGCCAGGAAGGAGGTGGAACTGGTGGGCTGAGCCGGGAGGAGTTCAGTAGGGAAAGGGGGGAGGAAGAGGATAGAGAGCCTGCGGGGAGCGCGGGAGAGGCAGTCTCCTTGGGACGAGCAGAGGGGCTGGGTTTGGACTCGGACAGGGGACAGTGTCTGGACCTGGTGAGGTTGGTCCTGTGTGGGCAGATGGTGTGCCAGGCGGAAGAGCTGGGGAAACAGAGGGAGCCCTGGCCTCCCCATCCCACAACGCACTGGACAGGTCCCTCTCCCCTCCCATCAGCAGGGACGTGGCCTGAGGACAGCGCTTCTGAGAACCTGGTCCAGCCTGCGTGGGAAGAGCTGGAGCGGAAGGGCAGCCTGAGGCCCTCTTCCCGTGCGCCACCCCACGTTTTACACTTTCCAGATTCCAAGAGGCACATTGGGAAGGTGAGGATCTCAGCAACGTACACAGCTATTGCCAGAGGAGGGAGGCACCAGGATCAGAACGGCTCGGCCAATCCTGAGGCATTAGGAGGGATGCACAGAGACTCAGAAGCAGAGAGGCCTTTGGAGGCCGAACCTGGAGCCGACTGGAAGTGTGGGTGTGGGGGACGGGGGAGTCACAGTTGACCTGGATGAGATCACTAAGGGCTGAGCGTGGAGCTAGAGGAGGGGAGGTGCACGGACTGCACGCTGGTGATCCTGGCACTGGGGGGCGGTGGGGGGCGGGCGTCAGGGAGATGAGGCGGTGACTCTCAATGCTGCCAACAGAGGAGCAGCCAGTGGCGTAGGCGGACAGGCGGGGGAGGGGCATTCCTGGAGCCGAGAGAAGAAGACCTTTCCGGGAGGATCAGGCGACCACCTGTGTCCAAGGTTATTGACAGGTCAGGTGAGACAAGTTTGGAGAACCAACCACTGGACTTCCAGCATGGACATGATGGTGACCTTGACAGGAGTGGTCTCAGGGACAAAATGACTACAGGGGGTTGTAGAGAGAGTGGGACCAGGGCAAGCGGAGTAGCAAATAGTTTTGCCTGAAAGATAGGCAGTAGCTAGAGAGGGCCGCGTGGCCAGGGGAGAGCTTTTATTCGGGTGGGAGTGACCCAGGAAGGGAGCACAACCAGTCGGTGTCCGTGAGGTGGCCGGGATGGGGAAGGGGTGGTGCTCCAGGCACAGGGGAGGGGTGGGCCTCAGGTTGGAGCAGGACGACTCACCGGAGGTCAGAAGGGGAAGAGGTCAAGGGCACAGGTGCGTGCAGGTGGGGAGACTTGGTAGCAGGAGCATGAGGTGTTTCTGTCTGAGCCACGCACGGGGTTATGACACCCACTTTAGAGATGAGGAAGCCGGGTTACAGAGAGGCGAAGTACCCACTGTTAGACAGTGGACTTGACCTAAGATTCAAAGGCAGCAGAAACTCCCCAGACAGGGAGTGGGAGAAGGAAAGAGTCAGGCAAGGGGCAGGGAGGGGCCGTCGGCAATAGTCTAGGTCCTGTCTGTCCTGGAGGCCAAGGGCCAAGGGAGGAGGGAGCTGCATGGGCTTTAGGGTCAGACTGACCCCTGGCTCGGTTCCAGCTGGCTCTCAGCCACTCGCTAGCGGTGATTAGACAGGTCAGCTTCCTCCCCTGTGAGGGGTGTTGAGAGTACCTGCTGAGCGGGGTCTCTGTGAGATTAAGTGGGCAGCATGTGCCGGCCTGCAGCGAGCCTCCACAGGGGAACACATTGGAGTGCAGATGTCAGAGGGAGGACCCTTGGAGAGGAGGCTTCAGGTGATACCCAAGAGAGCACCCTGTGGGGGGCGAGGGGGCCTGTGCAAGCAGGGAGGGCCTGGCTTACTCCCTGGTGGCCCTCAGCGGCCCTGCCTCACGGTCCAGCACCAAGGCCTGCCTGGCTCGGCTCAAACCCCCCCAGTGTGCCTCCCCCAAGCCACTAACGCCAGGTCCACGCTGGCTGTGGCACAGGCTGCAGCCGTGGAAGTGGGGCAGGAGGGAACCATGGGGTCCCCAGGGAACCATGCTGGTGAGGGTGGAACGGGGTGGGGGGACAGGACCCGGGAGCGGCCAGAGCTCAGACGGGCTGAGGGTGGTTCTCCACTCCTGTGAAGACTCTGAAGCAGCTGCAGGCCCCAGTCCTCGTGATGCAGCTGAGTCACCATCAGGTATGGATTCCCGGGGTCGGGGCGGGGGGTGGGGTGGGGGAGGGCTGAGCAAGCAGACTCAGGTCCTGAGCTGCCGTGAGTGAGGTCCAGGGCCCCCCACATGGAGGCACAGGCTCTCCTCTGTGGCTACAGGTCCCACATTCTTGTCTCTTCCCTGGACCACCCCACAGAGCAGGGCCAGGGTCTCTAGGCGGCCCCTGCTAACAAGCCCGTGTTGGGAGTCTGGGAGGCATGAGGGCCCACTCTCTCTGGCAGGATGCAGATGCGTCCTCGACTCATTCAGGAAAAGCACGGACCAAACCATCCCACCCTGAGCTCTGCAATGGACCGCAGGCCGAAGCCATCCGTTCTGCACACCTGTGATGTTGACCGGGCTACAACTCCCTCCACTCCTCAGCACCTGTGGCCTCTGGGGGTCGGGGGGCGTCCTCCAGGTAAGGCAGGTAAGACCCAGGCCAGGCCAGCTCAGGGACTTCTGCTGACCCCCCTCATTAGGGAAGGACACTGAGATACGGGGACTTAGCTGCCACTTTTGCGAAGCGGCTCACTTGACACGAGCAGAGGAGGTTTCTCGGGCTAAGCCAGCTGCCACCTGACCCCTGACTTCACCATAACAGTCTCATCTGCTGACACAGAGGGCGTTGTCAGAGCAGACCAGCAGCAGACGCCTGCAAGTTCAGAGGTGTCTGGCCTCAGAGCTCTCATCCAACAACATCCTCTTCTTGGGGCTCTTGGCGTTTTGTGACTCTGGGAGAGTTCCCAGCAGGACCTGGGTACACTGATGCTGCAGTGACCACCCCTACACCAGCCAGACTATCTAACTGAACCTCAGTCACAGCAGGAGACTAAAATCCTCCAAGGTCAGAGAGAATACAGGGGGCCCCTTTGCCTGGGGGTGCACTACCGTCCTCCCAGCCCTGCCGGCCTCCCCACCAAACGGACCAGGTAAGAATTAGGTTGTGACGTTGGGTGGGTGGAGGGAGGGGTTACTGGGATTCCAGCTGCTCACCTGCTTCCTGGGGCTCAGCTCTCTGCTCCCCGCTCCTCTCCTCTCCCCAGGTCCTGGCTCCATCGCCCTAGCAGAAGGCCTCCCGCAAGCCAAGCCCCGGAGGGATGCGCCTTCCCCTCCTGCCCTTCTGCCCAAGCAGGGCTGCCGGCTCCTTTGGATCTTTTTGCGGTCTGGGCTTGCTGTTCCTCTCTACAGTAGTCAGGAAGCCCTTACCCCAAAAAGTATCTGCGGGAGGCCTTGTCTACAGAGGGGACGCCCCCGAGGGCTCCAGCTGGGTCACACACCAAACCCGCAACATGGAGTGGAGCCGTCAACCTGGCCATCCCATAGAGCTGCTGGTGACCTCAGCGCAAGCGCTGAACCTCTCTGTGCATCGGTGCTCCACCACGCCTTCAATCACTTACCTGTGTGCAAAGTCTATGGGAGATTCCACAAGGTACGAAGAAACAGGAGTGGCTCAGCTGAAGGTGGCAGATGTTGTGTGGCGGCTGGGCTCCGGCCCTCTGTCCTGTCTAGAGACCACCTCTGTCTAGGCTCCTTTTGGGGAATTACCTCTCCCACCCTGTGGGGACTCCTGGTGGGACTGTCACTCGAGACACCTTGCCTTTCCCTGCCCACTTGGATAAGAGACCCAAGACAGGCCTGGGAATTGGAATCCCGTGGGGAGGGTACAAGATGGGGAACGAAACCGTCGACGTTGATTAATTAGCAGCGGTGCCAATGGGAAGACTGTGAGCTCGTGCCGCCGGCGTCCCCTGAATTGTCTGGCGCCTGCCTTCCGCTAGCCTGCACCTTCAACTGCCCCCTTCACCTTATGAACCACCCCCAAATCCTTCCAATGCAGTCCTTTATTGTTTTAGTTAAGCATTCAATAGAGCTGCTTGTCTCGGGATACAGAGACCTCTAGAGACAGGAGGAGGGATTTCTCACGCTGGAGAGGAGGAGGGGCAGGGCCTCAGGGAGCTGAGGGACCACCCTTGGGGGAGGCCCACGTGGTGTCAGCCCCCAGGGGACAGGGGACAGAACAGAGGACAGAGGTCACATACAAGACTTGGTTTAAGGCCCAAGTAAACATTACCAAAGGTGCGAACAATGTTGGGATGAAGGACAGAGGAGGACGTATATGATATGGAGAAATGTGAAATAAAGATAAACAGGGGGCTTCCCTGGTGGCGCAGTGGTTGAGAGTCCGCCTGCCGATGCAGAGGACACGGGTTCGTGCCCTGGTCCGGGAGGATCCCACAGGCCGCAGAGCAAAAAAAAAAAAAAAAAAAAAAAAAGGGAAAAGATAAACAGGTTCTTCATTTTCTAAATGCGGGAGAGGATGGGTTGTGACAACTGCAGGTGGCTGTGGGTCGCTGTCCCTCCTGCCAGCTGCTGGGTGTCTGGACACCACTGCTGTGGCTGCAGTGAGCCCTGTCTCATGTTCCACCGCTAAGGGAGGTCCCGAACTTGACACTCTCTATGCAGGAAAGGCTCGCTCCCCTGCCCCTCCTTGTCTGCAATCCTCCCACCTGGCCCTGGCTGGCTGCTGTGCCCGGGAAGCCCACGGTGAGGGGCACAGTGTCAGGCCTCCCCAGGTCCATTAGCCATTAGAGGCCACACCAGAGCCACAGCCTGCAAGAAACAAGGCAGCTGGAAGTTTCCCTCCCCATGCAGAAGCCGCAAGAGGCAAGTCACACATGAGCTGATGTGTGGCCCACGCTGAGTTCAGAGGTGCTAAAGGATCCCGAATGAGGCTGGTGTTCACTGGGGGCTGGGGCGGGGGTGGTGTCAGGAATGAGGGCTGGGTGTGTGGGTCCCAGAGCAATTACTGTAGCTGTGTGAGGTCAACGGAGCCCCCGCCCGGACACAGACATCAGTGGGCGATGATAGGGTGGTGACAAAGGCTGTAAGGCTGACTAGTGCCTGTGACTGCCGGACCTCCTACCCCTGGTGCCACCCTGACCTCCCAACCCCACCCAGTGCAAAGGAGGTCATGCCCTGCCATCTGCCCACGGGCCCGCGAGTGGGGAACGCATCTGCAGCTCAAGGGTGGCATCGTGTGGTCAGAATGGGATAGTGCGCCCCACAGCCTCCAGAGAGCTCCACTCACGGGTCGCTCCACCGCTGCTGAGTCCGACTCCGCTCTAGGAGGGCAAGGCCTGCAGATCTTGCGCACAGAATTGCAGTTTCTTTGAGGCACAGTCCTGAGGGGCTCAGGGCCTGAGAGGGATGGAGAGGAAAGAGATGGAGGGCAGGAGGGAGTGGAGGAGGGAGGGAGAGGTTGCTGGAGGGAAGAAGCCTCTCAGTGAGGGGGTCTGCACCACAGGCCACTCTCCTGGGTCTAGGCCACCTTTCAAAGGGAGTTTCTGGGTCCACGTTCCAGGCGTTTGACTGTCCCTGGCCCATCACTTGAGTCCCTCAGGCTGCAACTCAGAGCCTTGCACCCCAGGGAAGCTGTTCCCAGGAAAGAGAGTAGGGCCCAGGGAGAGGGAGGGTTCAGAAAAGGCTCCTGTTTCCAATGTTAATGGAAGCAACCTGAATTTCAGAATCAATCAGATCTGGATTCAAATCTCAGGTCCTCCCCCTGTGAGCTGTGTCACCTCGGGAAAGTCCTTTACCCTCCCTGTGGGTACCTCAGTGTCCCATCAGTAATATGGGGCCAATGATGCCCTGCCGGCAGGGGCGTGGAGGGGAGTCACTGTCAGTCATGACCGTGGAGAAGAAGGCCCCCCACTCTGAGTCTAGGGGTGTCAGCTCTGGGGACTATCTGCCCGGCTGCCTGCGCATTGCTGCGTCTTTCTGCTTTTGTGTGTATGTGCTCATTTGGCAGTGAGTTTTCTGATTGAAATCAGCCATGGTTGCGTGCCCCCTACCTAACGCACCCAAACAGACAGGAGGTGTGCTGCGGCCCAAGGACTGTGGCCAGCACTGTAAGGGGTTGAAGCCAGCCCGCAGGCCCTGGGGGCAAGAGACGAGGATGGGAGGGGCATGGCCGCCAGAGCTGGAGGGGCCAAGGCTGAGTCTTAGGGAGAGGGAGGTGGGGGAGGGGAGGTGGCACAGAAAAAGCGAAAGAAAATCTAGAAAGAGAGGGAAGAAAGGAGGAGAGTTCACGGCAAAATGGGAAGTCTCTCTAGGTGGCCGGTGTCCCCCCTCTGTGGCTGTTCAAGGTGCCCCAGCAGCACCTGGGCAAGGCATCCCAAGCTGAGGGAGTGTCCCTGCACCAGTCCCCTTCCTTCTCTGGGCCTCAGCTTCTGCCTCCAGAAGATCAGAGGAAGCTGGATTCCTTCTCTCAGCTACCATCCCTCCCCTCCCAGGCCCACCGGCTGTCTGGAGGGTGGGAGCTGTGAGGGTGCAGAGGAGCTCGTGGGCGCGCCAGCCAAGGGATGCTGGGGGGTGGGGTACGGGGGTGGGCAGGCTGAGACAGAACACTGAGCCTCCGGGAGGAAGGAGTCAGAGAAATTACCAGCAATGAAACCTATAGGTTTCCCCAAAGTACAGTTTGAATAGAAATGTCAAATGCACCTGGGGTTGTTATACCCTGCAATCCTAATGACATATAATCCTATATACCAACTTGATAATATCATGGAGTGCGTATGTTAATCCTGCCTTTCTCCCGGGGATGAGCTTTCTCCTCCCAGCAGAGCCTACAAAGCCTTCTTTGTTCTCCCCAGAGGTGGCCTCATCCAGGCTGAGCCTGGGGAAGTGACAGTGGAAGGTCCAAAGAGCTCCCAGAAGAGAGCTGTCATTTCTTTAGGAAGGGAATAGACAGTTGTCATCTGGTGCTTTCATTTGTGCCTAATCTGGGTGTAACCTGAGTCCCCTGGGGGCTGCTGAGCCCTCCCACCCCCGCCCCCCCAGCATCAGACTCTCTGTTCTGGACTCCGTCTCCTCTCCCACCCTCCCTCTCTATCCTTTTCCTATCCTCTTATGCCTCCTTTCCCACTTCCCTCCCTTCTTTTTTTCCCAGCGTCTATGGCTTGTTCTGCCAAGGACACCCTCAGACACGATTCTTTCCTTCGAGAGCCCCCAGGGACTAGTGTACACTAACCCTGTGGGACGGTGTTCCCTAGCTGCAGGGCCTGGGCGGGGGGGAGGGAGAGCAGACCATCGCAGGAGGTGGGAGCAGCACGGCTAGTGGTCTGTGGGCAGGGGGCTTTCAGGATAGGGGACAGAACGTCAGGCCAGTGCACCCCTCAAGATGCACCCTGGGCTTGTCTTGCCAGCGGTCCAGCCCATGCCCGTCCCCAGGACATAAAGCTGCCTTTGCTTTCAGAGCAGGAAATCTCCTTTTGGGCTCCTCTTAAGGAGGTGGGATTTTTAAGGTCCAAGTTGCAGTCACCCACACAATCCAGGAATCCCATTCCAAACCCCACGCTCCTGTGCTCAGCCTTCCAGGGCTGTGGTTCTGAAAGCGTGGTCCCTGGGTCAGCAGCTTCAGTGCCACCTGAGATCTTATTAGAAACGCACATTCTTGGTCCCAGCACCCAGCACCAAGGGCGTGCTGAGATGGTTTGCGTCACCTTGGGAGAACGAAAATGTGCGCATCTGCTCCCCAGCTCCACCTTTAGTGACAGTCGCATTGGGGTCTTGAAATCAGCTGCGGTGGGAATATTTACACCATGGAAACTGGCAAACACCACAAATCAGTGCCTATTTTCTTTTCAGAGAGCAGCTTCCAGCACACCACTGGGCCCCATCCAGACCTATTGAATCAGAAACTCTGGAGGTGGGGTCCAGCAATCTGGGTTTAAGTAAGCTTTCCAGGTGATTCTGATGCACACTCCAGTTTGAGAAGGACTCAGTGGGTCAGTGCTGGTGGAATCATGAATCTCAGGGCTGAGATAGAAAAGGGAGATGTGGTGGCCAAGGAGTAGGGAGGGTTTCACGAGGAAACTTTGAGAAAGGTAAAGAAAGGACAGAGAAAATAAACCAGACCCTGGGCCTCCCCTCCAGGCAGAGGGGCAGCAGGCATCTGGCAGGAAGCCCTCCTGGGCAGAGGTGAGACTCCAGCCCAGGGACTGGGCTAAGGTGCCGAGGAGGTTGGGTGAAGCCTGCTTGGATTGTACCTGTTTCTCCAGGTATCCGGGTGAGGGAGCCATGCGTGAGATC